CGCAGGAGGCGTTGTCGCAGTAGCCGTCGCAGGCCTCGCAGCCGGCCTCGCAGGCGCTCTGCATGGAGCCGTCCTTCTGTTCGAACTGCTCGTCGCCGTAGCTCGCGCACCACGACGCCGTGAGGACGTCCGACGAGCAGTCGTTGCCCGAGTCGTCCTCCCACTTGGCGCCGGAGGCGGACGCGGCGGCGGCGACGAGCAATTTGAACGCGCGGAGCTGCATGGTCTTCTTGTTTTGCTGCGTGCTAGGCAGGACTGTGCTTGCTATTTCGCCATGCGCCGAGAAGACGAGCGGCACAGTGACGGCACCCAAATTTGTTGGACAAGTTATTGAAGGGATGCCCGTATGTGAGTGCAAGGCCGACACGATGCCCCAAGAAGCCTCTTTCGCTGCCCCGACAAAAAACGCCTCTCTCCATGGGGATGCTCTATCGACGCCGATGTTCCGCCGAATCGTGAGCGTTCTGGTCGCCGTCGCGGCCGGCGCCGCGGGCGCGTCGCCCTGGGCGGACGAGCGGCGCGAGCTCCAGGTCTGCGTCTGCGGCGGCCCGCCCATGTGCACCGACGGCGGCTGCTACGAGCCGCTCCAGGGCCAGGACTGCGACAACGGCAGCCCGCCGGAGCAGGATCTCTGCGCCGACTGCTCGTCCTGCAACACGGGCGCGCCGACGGCCAGCCGGCCGCCGAGCGGCGCGCCCACGGAGTACTTCTGCTACTGCTCCACGAGCAAGCCCGTCTGCATCGAGGGCGGCGTCGACGCGTGCTACGAGCCCCAGGGCGGCCTGCCCTGCGACAACGGCTCGCCGCCGAACAACCAGCTCTGCGACGACTGTGTGACGGTGTGCATCGAAGATCCGACGCCGGAGCCGTCCGTGTCGCCGACGACGGCGACGCCGACGACGGCCGCGCCGACGCCGCCGCCGTCCTCCGCGCCGAGCGGCGCGCCATCCAGCAACCCGAGCCCGAGCCCGTCGTCGCCGCCGTCGGCGTCGCCGTCCGCGGCGCCGGCGCCGCAGCCGTCCGCGGCGCCGGAGCCCGCGCCGACGACGGCGTCGCCCGCGCCGACGCCGCGGCCCGCGCCGCAGCCGACGACGGCGCCGACGGCCGAACCAACGACCGCCGCGCCGTCGAGCGCGCCGTCCGCGGCGCCCACGGCGCCTCCGTCGAGCGCGCCGACGGCGTCGCCGTCGCCCGCGCCGGCGCCGGCGCCGTCCGCGAGCCCGTCGCCCGCGCCGTCGCCCGCGCCGTCCGCGGGCCCGTCCGCGCGCCCGTCCGCCGGTCCGTCGCCCGGTCCGTCGCCCGCGCCCTCGGCGAGCCCCTCGTCGCGTCCCTCGGCGAGCCCCACGGCGCCTCCGTCCTCCGGCCCGACCGCCGCGCCGTCCGCGGCCCCGACCGCGGCGCCGTCCGCGACGCCGACGACGGCGCTCCCGTCCGCGGCCCCAACGATCTCGTCGATCCCGACGCCGGCGCCGTCGGCGTCGCCCGTCCCCACGGTCCCGCCGACGCATACGCTGTGCGACCCGGGCTACTACTCCGAGGACGTCACGGGCGCGGGCTGCGCCGCGTGCCCGGCCGGAAAAATATCCGCCGAGGCCGGCGCGTCGGCCTGCGCCATGTGCCCCGTGAACACCTACGCGTCGACCGTGGGCTCGACGGAGTGCGTCGACTGCGCGGCCGGCCGCCAGTCGGCTTTGGGGTCCCAGACCTGCGGCTTCTGCGCGGCGGGCCAGTACGAGACCGTCGACGGCGACGGCGACGCCGCGTGCGTCGACTGCGACGCGGGCGCCTACCAGCGTCCTGTGGCGGTGACGATTTTCGAGAGATTTCGACCGGGAAAACGAAGAGACATCGTTATGCTCGGTAGGCACCTACAGCCCCGTCGGGTTCTACTGCCTGAGCTGCGCTTTGCAGGGCAGCACAAGAGAGCGAAATTCCCAACTTCAAAGGCTCCGATCTCGGCCATTTTCCACTCGTTTCGGCTGATTTTTGGACGAGCGATCATCTCTCGGAGCGCTCTCGAAGCGTGGGTGCTGTTTCCGAAACGCGCGCGCGCGGAACACTCACGTTGAAGCGACGTTGAATCACCCTTGTGCTGCCCAGGCGGCGCGGGGTCCGCGACCGCGGACACGGTGGACTGCGTCGTCTGCGCCGCGGGCACCTACAGCGCCGGCGACGCGAACTCGGAGTGCGCGCCGTGCGCCGCCGGGCGCGCGTCGTCCGCGGGCGCGTCGGCCTGCGACGCCTGCGACGCCGGCCGCTTCGCGAACGCGACGGGCGCGGCGACCTGCGACCTCGCGGCGCCGGGCTTCTACGTCGCCGAGGCCGGCGCGGCGGCGCCGGAGCCGTGCCCCGCGGGCACGTTCAGCGCCGGCGCCGCGGCCACAGCCTGCGAGGCCTGCCCCGCGGGCACGTACGCCGCCGGCGCCGGCGCGACGGCCTGCGCGATCGCGAGCGAGGACACGTACGTCGCGGCGCCGGGCGCGTCGGAGGCGACGGCCTGCGCGGCGGGCCTCTGCGCGGGCGCCGCGGCGACGGAGTGCGCCGACTGCTACGCCGTCTGCGACTTTTTGCCGACCACAAACCCGACGACGCTGCGCCCGACGACGGCGGCGCCGACGCCGCGGCCGAGCCCGGCGCCGTCGCCGTCGCCGACGCCGCCGCCGACCGCCGCGCCGACGCCGCGGCCGTCGCTCGCGCCGACCGTCGCCACGGCCGCCCCGAGCCCGAAACCGACGCCCGCGCCGTCGCCCCGCCCGTCCGCCGCGCCGACGACCGCGGCCCCGAGCGCGAGGCCGTCCGTCGCGCCCACGGGCGCGTTCCTGCGGATCTCGTCCGTCGGCGTCGGGTCGACCTGCGTCCTCAACGAGGCCTGCGTCCTGTCGTGGACGTTCCAGGGCGACGGCTGCGAGACGCTCGACGTCTCCGTCGTCGACGGCGACGGCGACCTCGTCACTTCGGAGACCACGGACAACGACGGCCAGGAGATCAAAGAATTACCCGGCGACGGCGACCTCGACGGCCAGACCTTCACGCTGACGCTCGCGTGCTCCGACGACGCGGCGCTCGCCGACGCCTACGACTTTCTCGTGTCCTTTTATCCCGCGCCGTCTCCGGCGCCGACGCCGGCCCCGACGCCCGAGCCGTCGTCCAAACCCACGGCGACGCCCTCCGGCGCGCCGTCGCCGCGACCGTCGCCGGCGCCGACGCCCGCGCCGACGCCCGCGCCGTCGGCGGCGCCCTCCGGCGCGCCGTCGCCGCGACCGTCGCCGCCCCCGAGCCCCGCGCCGACGCCCGAACCGTCCCCGAAACCGACGCCGTCGCCGTCCACCGCCGCCCCCTCGGCCAACTGCGCGCCCGGCTTCGTCGTCGCCGACGACGACGCGTCCGAGTGCCCGGCCGGGACCTACGGCCTCGCGGGCGAGTCCTACTGCGTCGACTGCCCCGCCGGCTCCTACGCGGCCGCCGCGGGCGCGACGACGTGCACGGTCGCGTCCGCGGGGTCCTCCGTGCCCGCGGCGGGGTCCACCGCGCAGACCGCGTGCGCCCGCGGGACGTACGCCGCGAGCACCGGCATGAGATCGTGCGCCGCGTGCCCCGCGGGCGCCTACGCCCCCGCCGCCGGCGCCACGGCGTGCACGCGGGCGTCCGCCGGGTTTTATGTCGCTTCGGACTGGGCCGTCGCGCAAGACGCGTGCGCCTCCGGCACCTATTCGGGCTCCGGCGCGTCCGAGTGCTCGAGCTGCGCCGCCGGGACGTTCGCCGCGACCGAGGGCGCGTCGACCTGCGCGCTCGCGGCGGCGGGCTCCTACGTGTCGCGGACCGGCGCGACGGCGGACGAGCCCTGCGCCGCGGGCACCTACTCGGGCTCCGGCGCGTCCGAGTGCGCGAGCTGCGCCGCGGGCGCCTACGGCGGCTCCGGCGCGTCGGCCTGCGTCTTGGCCGACGCCGGGTCCTACGTCGCGACCGCCGGCGCGTCGGCGCAAGTCGCCTGTCCCGCCGGCTCGTTCTCGGGCGCCGGCGCGTCGTCGTGCGAGTCTTGCCCGGCGGGGACCTACAGCCTCGGCGGCGCGACGTCCTGCGCAGGGCAGGACAAGAGAGCGAAATTCCCAACTTCAAAGGCTCATATCTCGGCCGTTTTCCACTCGTTTCGGCTAATTTTTGGACGAGCGATCATCTCTCGGAACGGTCTCGACGCGTGGATGTGTTTTCCGGAACGCGCGCGCGCGGAACAATCACGTTGAAGCGACGTTGAATCACTCTTGTCCTGCCCAGGTCCTGCGCCGTCGCCGGCGCGGGCACGTACGTCGACGCCGCGGGCGCCTCGGAGGCGACGGCCTGCGCCGCGAGCGCCTTCTCCGGCGCCGGCGCGACGGCCTGCGAGGCCTGCCCGGACGGGGCGTACTACGTCGCGGGCGACTCGGGCTGCGCCTTCGCGGCGGCGGGCGCGTACGCGGGCGCCGACGGCGCGGTCGCCTGCCCGGCGGGGACCTACTCCGGCGCCGGCGCGTCGGCCTGCGAACCCTGCGCGGCGGGCACCTACAGCGCGTCCTCGGGCGCGACGGCGTGCGCCGCCGCCGCCGCGGGCGCCTACGCGGCCTCGTCGGGCGCGTCCGCGGCCGCCGCGTGCGCCGCGGGAACATTCTCGGGCGCGGGCGCGTCGGCCTGCTCGAGCTGCCCCGCGGGGTCCTACGCCGCGGCGGCCGGGTCGACGGCCTGCACGAGCGCGGCCGCGGGCGCCTACGTCGCCGCGGCCGGCGCGTCCGACGAGGCGCCGTGCCCCGCGGGCTCCTCCAGCGGCTCCGGCGCCACGGAATGCGCGCCCTGCGACGCCGGGACCTTCGCCGCGGCCGAGGGCTTATCGACCTGCGCGCTCGCCGCCGAGGGCTCCTACGTCGACGCCGCGGGCGCCTCCGAGCAAGTCCCCTGCGCCGCGGGCACCTACGCGGCGGGCAACGGCGCGTCGTCGTGCGCGGCCTGCCCCGCGGGGTCCTACTCGGACTCCTCCGGCGCGTCCTCCTGCGCGCTCGCCGGCGCGGGCTACACGGCCGGCGCGGCCGCGTCGGAGCAGACCCTCTGCCCCGCGGGCTCCTATTCCGGAAGCGGCGCGTCCGCGTGTGTGGCCTGCGAGGCGGGCCGCTACGCGCCCGGCGAGGCCCAGTCCAGGTGCGCGCTCGCGTCCGGCGGCACCTTCGTCGCCTGGAGCGGCGCGACGGCCGCCGCGGCCTGCTCCTCGGGCCGCTACTCGGGCTCCGGCGCGACGTTCTGCAGTTTGTGCGCGGACGGCACGACGTCCGACGCGGGCGCCGCGACGTGCCGCCCGACGGAGGCGGGCTACATCGCTCCGACCGCCGAGATCTACGAGCTCACGATCCGCTCGTCGCTCGTTTTCGCGAGCGGCGACGCGGACGCCTGCGCGGCGAGCGCCGCGGCGTTCCTCGAGGACCGCTTCGCGACGGACGTGCTCCTCGACGACGCGGCCGTCGCCTACGGCGGCGAGGCGGCATCCGACGACGGCGCGACCATCGTGTCTCTCGTGTTGACGGCGAACTACAGCGCCACGTCGACGGAGAACGTGTCGAACGTCGCGGCGCTCGTCACGTCCGACTTCGAGGACGGCGCGTCGCTGGCCATCTACGACGGCAGCCTCGAGGACGCCGTCGCCTCGACGGGGTGCGCGCTCGATAGCGACGCGTCGCTCGAAACCGTGGCGGAAACGACGGGCGACGAGGCCCTCGTCTCCGCGGCGACGTTCGACGGCGCGATGGAGTGCCCCGCCGGCACCTTCTCCCTCGCGGGGACCGCGTGCCTCTACTGCGACCTGGGCACCTTCACGCCGAGCCCCGGCGCGACGACGTGCGACTTCGCCGACGCGGGGTTCTACGTGAACCGGTACGGCGCGACGTCCCAGGAGCCCTGCGCGCCGGGCCGGTACGCGGCCGGCGCGGGCGCGCACGCGTGCGCCGCGTGCCAGGCGGGCACGTACCTCGGAGACGCCAACGGCACGGCCTGCGCGCTCGCGGACGCGGGGTCCTACGCGGGCTACGGCGAGGCCACGGAGCAGCTCGCGTGCGCGGCCGGGTCGTCGTCGGGCGCGGGCGCGACGGCGTGCGCCGAGTGCCCGGCCGGGACCTACAGCGCGTCCGGCGCGACGTCCTGCGCCCTCGCGTCCGCGGGGTTCTACGTGGGGGACGACGGCGCGCGGGCCGAGACGCCCTGCGACGCGGGCTACTTCTCCGCGGCCGGCGCGACGGAGTGCTTCGCGTGCCCGCCGGCGACGTTCTCGTCGTCGCCGGGCTCGACGGAGTGCACGCTGGCCGAGGCCGGCTACTACGTCGGCGCCGCGGGCTCGTCGGCCGAGGCGGCCTGCGCCGCGGGCGAGTACTCGGGCGGCGGCGCGTCGGCGTGCGCCGCCTGCGGCGAGGGGTCGTACGCGGCGGCCGCGGCGACGGCCGCGTGCTCGCTCGCGACGGCGGGCTACTACGTCGCGTCGTCCGGGTCGACGGACGAGGCGGCCTGCGCCGCGGGCCGCTACAGCGGCGCGGGCGCGTCCCACTGCGACCTCTGCGCCGACGGGACGACGTCGGACGCGGGCTCGGCGTCCTGCGAGGCCGCGGAGGCGGGCACGGTCGCGACGGGCGGCGAGACCTACACCGTGGCCCTCGAGTCCGCGGTAACGCTCTCGAACGTGTCCGCGGCGGAGTTCAACAACGACACGGCGAGCCAGGCGGACTACGTCGCCGTCCTGGAGGAGACGCTCGTGGCGGACGGCGGCTTCAGCGACATGGTCGACTCGAGCGCGATCACGTCCGTGGGCCCGGCGACGGACGTGGAGTCGCGGCGGCGCCTGGAGGACGGCACGACGGTGACGACGCTCCTCGCGTCCATCGCCTTTGCCATGGACGCGAACTACACCGCGGCGGCGGGCGAGAACGTCAGCGACGCGGCCGCGGTCATCGCCGAGGACCTCGCCGAGGATCTCACGGAGAGCATCGAGTCGGGGAAGCTCGAGAAGGCCATCGCGAGGCACGCCAACGGGTCCTTCGGCGCGCGGGCGTCCGTCGACCGCGACTACAGCCTCGCGGACGCGGCGGGGAGCGGGAGCGTCGGGTTCTTGAGGAAGAAGAAGCGCGGCTCGTCGTCGCAGACCGCGGACTGCGGGCCGGGCACCTACTCGCTGCTCGGCGCGACGGTCTGCGTGAGCTGCGCGCCGGGCTCGTTCACGGGCGCCTCGAAGCGCACGGCGTGCGAGCTCGCGCCCGCGGGGTCCTTCGTCGGGAGCGCGGGCGCGTCGGAAGCTTCGCGCTGCGCCGCGGGGACCTACGCGTCGGGCCCCGGGTCGTCGGCCTGCACGCCCTGCCCCGTCGGCCAGCTGGCCAACGCGACGGGCGCGACGGCCTGCGCCTTCGCCGACGCGGGGTTCTACGTGGCCGCCACGGGGTCCGCGGACCAGGTCGCCTGCGATGCTGGTACCTACTCGAACCCGGGCGCGTACGCGTGCATCCCCTGCGAGCGCGGCGCGTTCAGCGGTTCGGGCACGGCGGAGTGCGCCGCGTGCGCCTACCCGCTGACGACGTCGGCGAGCGGCGCGTCGAGTTGCGACGCGTGCGGCGCGGGCTACTACTGGGACACGGTAGCCGCCGCCGCGGGGGCGACGGGCGCGGCGCTGTGCGTGTTATGCCCCGAGGAGGGGTCGCGGTGCCTGAGCGAGGGCATCACGCTGGAGACGCTGCCCCTGAAGGCGGACTACTGGCGCGCGTCGCTCCACAGCGACGAGCTCTACGCGTGCGCGCTCGACGACGCCTGCGGCGGCGGCGCCGCGGACTACTGCGAGGACGGCCACGGCGGCCCGCTGTGCGGCGTCTGCGACGCGGGCTGGACGCTGGACCTCGTCGCGAACTCGTGCGTGGCGTGCCCGGCGCCGGCCTACGACCTCCGCGTCGGCAAGCGCGCGTCGCTCGCGGCGCTCGCGGCGCTCGTGCTCATCGCGGGGCTCGTGTGGCTCAGGAAGCGGGTCAGCGGCGGGCACGGCCTTCGCCGCGCGCCGCGAAAAGCGCGACTGGACGCCCTACTGGGTCAAGCTCAAGATCGTCGTCGGCCTCTACCAGATCGTCGGCGCGACGCAGTGGTCCATGCCCCAGGTGCCCTTTCCGCGCGTCATGACGGCGCCCTTCGCCGTGCTCGCGACCGTGGCCGTCGACGACGTCTTCCAGCTGCTGCCGCTCGACTGCCTCGGCGCGCGGCCGTCCTACTTCGAGGCGCTCGTCGCGCTGACGCTCCTGCCCGTGCTCGCGGCGGTCTTTCTCACGGTCGTCCACTTCGCGCGGCTCCGCTATTCCAGGAGCTCGCGGCTCACAGGGCAGGAAAAGAGAGCGACATGCCCAACTTCAAAGGCTCCTCTCTCGGCCGATTTCCACTCGTTTCGGCTGATTTTTGGACGAGCAATCATCTCTTGGAACGGTCTCGAAGCGTGGATGCTTATTTCGGGAACGCGCGCGCGCGGAACACTCACGTTGAAGCGAACTTGAATCTCTCTTTTCCTGCCCAGGCGGCTCGCCGTCGAGGCCTCGTCGACCTACGCGCTCTTCTGCCTGTCCTTCCTGTGCCTCCCGAGCTGCGCGGCGATCACGCTGCAGTTCTTCGGCTGCGCGCGCTACGACCTCGGCGCCGAAGGAGGCGACCTCTCGGTGCTCTACGCGGACCAGTCCGTCGACTGCTCGGGCGCTCGACATCAGTCCTGGCGGCCCTACGCGCTCCTCATGGTCGCCCTCTACCCCGTCGGCGTGCCCCTGTGCTACGCCCTCCTCCTCTGGCGCCGCCGCGAGGACCTGAACCCGTCCGCCGCCGCCGTCGCCGCGAAGGGGAGGACGCGCGGCCGGCGGTCGTCGATGAACGAGAGCAAGAAGCAGCGGCGCGCGTCCATGGTCGACAGCGCCAAGGCCAAGGTCCTCGCGGCCGAGGCCCAGGAAAAGGCCCTAGCCTTCCGCGACGCCGTCGCCGGCGACCGCATCGCGACCCTCGCGTTCCTCGTCGAGGACTACCGCCCCCAGTGCTTCGCCTTCGCCGTCTTCGAGGCCGCGCGCCGCGTCGCGCTCACGGCGCTGCTCGCGCTCCTGCCCGACGGCGGCGCGCGCCAGCTCTTCCTCGCGCTCGCGGTGTCGCTCGCGAGCCACCGCGTCTACGCGCACTACGCGCCCTTCGTCGACGACGACGACGCGAGGCTGGCCGAGGTCGCGAACGCGGAGTTGGTGTTGGTGTTCTTCGCGTGCCTCGCGCTATTCGTCGACGGCGCCGGCGGCGCGTCGCGGCTCCGCCTCGGCTCCTTCGCGACGGCCGCGCTGCTGCTGGTCGTCTTCTTCGCCGGGCTCGCGGCGTTTTTCGTCTACGTCGTCGTGGACCTCGTCGTCGGCCGCGAGCAGGCGCTGCGGGCGGTGCTGGAGGTGAAGACGGCCGCGCGGCGCGCGTCGAATTTCGGGGCGGCGCTGGCCCGGCCGCCGCCGCCGAAGCCCGCCGTCGACGACGGCTACGACGACGACGTCACGACGCCGACGTGCAGCATCGTCTTCAAGCCCCTCGACGGCGACGTCGCGGAGGCCGAGGTTTCGGACGACGCGCGCGACGACGTCGCGCCCGAGGGCGTGCGCTGCGCCAAGGCCCTCTTCAAGCCGGCCCAGTTCGCCGACGACAGCGACGACGAGGAGGGCAAGGAGCCGCCGAGGTGCGACGGCGCCCCGGCCGCGGCGCCGCCGCCGGCGACGCCGGGCGCCGACGGCTCGCCGGGGGGGCGCGCGAGCCCCGACGCGGCGTCGTTCTACGGGTCGCCCCACGACGTCGAGGACCGCGGCTCGACGACGGACGGCGCGGTGTCGTTCTACGGGTCGCCCCACGACGTCGAGGACCGCGGGCCGACGACGGACGGCGCGTCCCCGCCGCCGCCGCCGCCGGGCGGCTTCTCCCTCTTCTGGACGAACCAGGAGCACCGCGAGGAGCCGCCGTCGCCCGTGCGGGTCGACCTCCGCGCGCCGCGCGACGTCGCGGACCTCGACCGCCTCGACGACGTCGACCTCCCCGCGCAACTTTAAAGATCCTTGTATGTCTAAAATTTACGGCGGCGCCGTCTCGCCGAGCGCCGCCCGCGCGAGCGCGTCGTCGTCGAGGTCCTTGGCCCACGCGGGCCACGCGCCCGGCGGCGGCGCCACGCCCTGCATCGCGGCGCGCACGGCCGCCGCGTCGCCCGCGGGCATGGGCGGCGGCGGCGGCGGCGGCGGCCGCGCGGGCGGCGGCGTCGCCTTGACGATGTCGGGCTTCGGCCGCAGCAAGAGGCTCCGCCCGGGCGCGTCCGCGGGCACCTCCGGCACGGCCGCGGCCGCGACGCGGCGGTGCTCCGCGTCCATGGCCGCGAGGAGCCGCGCCGCCTCGTCCACCGGCGCGACGGGCGGCGGCGGCGGCGCGTCCGCGACGGGCGCGTCGCCCGCGCCCGCGGCGGCGGGGCACCCCGGGCCCGCGCGGAGCGAGTCGCCGCGCCGGAGGCCGAGCGAGTTCGCCGCGGGCCGCGGCGCGGGCGGCAGCCGGTCGAGGGACGCCGCGAGGAGCGCCTGCTCCGCGGCGCCGAAGGCGACGAGGTGCACCTCCCTCAGCGCCGGCAGCTCGACCGCGCGCGCGGCGACGGCGGCGACGGCGACGTCGAGGACCGCCGCCAGGGGCCGCGCGCCCCGGAAGACGCCCGCGGAGAGCAGGGCGAAGCCGACGTAGGCGACGCCGGCCTCCCGCGCGCGGTCGAGCGCCGCGCCGTAGGCGTCGCGGAGGAGCGCGTCGCCCTCGGCGAGCGGCCGGCCCGCGCGCGCGAGCGCGCCGTAGTTCGGGCCCACGGCGTGGATGACGTAGGCCGCGGCGAGGTCGCCGTAGGCGCCCGGGCCCGTGGCCGCGGCGCCGCCGGTGGCGATGCGGTCGACGCGCGACCCGGAGAGGACGGGTAAAGCGCGGCGCGCGGCCTTGAGCGCGGGGCCGCCCGCGCGGCCGATGGCGCCGTCGACGCCGCCGCCGCCCTGGCCGCCGCGGTTCGCCGCGTTGACGATGGCGACGGACTCCACCGGCCAGGCCGCGGCCCGGCCGAAGTCGACGACGCTGCCGGCGCTGATCACGAGCTGCGCGCCCGAGGCGAGCGGCGCCGCCGCCACCCGGCGCAGGCCGCCCATGATTTGATTTGTGCTCGAGGTCTTGAGGCCTACGAGAGCGGCAGGCGCTGCTGATCACGGAGAGCGCGCGCAGGACGAGGAGGCCCGTTCGAGGGGCTGTGCCACAAATATTTAAATGCCACAACCAATCAGCGACTGGCATCAGCTCAAAAATCGTCCGCCCGTCGAGGTCCGCCTCCTCGTCGCACTCCTTGTGGTCCTCGCCACCGCGACCGGCCACCCGCCGCGCCCGAGCCCGAGCCGGCGCGTGCGCGAGGCGCTTATGTCGAACCAGATGTCTGAGCCGCCGAGCAACCCGCAGGACCTGACGCTGTTCGTGCAGAACCTGCTGGAGCAGATGCAGACGCGCTTCGAGACGATGTCGAATCAGATCGTCGACCGCATCGACGAGATGGGCAACCGCATCGACGACCTCGAGAAGTCCATCGCCGAGCTCACGGAGCAGGCGGGCGTCGACCCCGAGGGCGAGGCCCCAAAGTAGGCGCCGCGCGCGCCGCGCGCGCCGCCGCGGACCGCGGCGCCGCGCGGCGGCCTCCGCGGCGGCCGCGGCCGCGCGCGCCGCCGTCCGCGCCGTCGCGCGGCCGCGCGGCGACGACGCCGATGGCGTTCGCACGACGGCGCGGCCGTCGAGCGACGTCGACGCGCGGCCGTCGCGCGACGCCGCGGCGCGCCGTCCCGAGCGGCGGCCGCGCGCGCGCGCGACGACGGCGTCGCTTCCTACAAGGGCCTCCCACCCCGTAATCTACTTTTTCGCAGCGGTATTGCCGGTCGGCTCGGCGCATGCGCGCCATCTCGAGCGAGTGATGTTTGCGGCAATGAAGACTTCAACATGAGCCGGAGCTGTGAGCTGCCGCTCGAGTGCCGCGCCGACGCCGTCGGCACGCACCGCGCCGTCGCCTGGCACGTCCTCTGCGCCGACGCCTGGCACGTTGCATGCCTTACCAGCCCCACGACATCGACAAGTGCCGGTCGAGCGTCGGCATCCTCCCCTCCGGCACGGGCCTCTTCAAGCGCGTCGAGCTCAACGCCTTCGGCCCCGCCGCCTGGCTCTGCTGGTGCGACGCGCCCGCGGACGTCGCCGCGCGCAAGTGCCTCGTGACCCCGTCGGCGCGGCCTCGGGCCGGCGCGCCCCCGTCGCCGGACGCGTCGCCGCCGCCGTCGCCGCCGCCGCCGCCGGAGGGCGCGCGGGCCATGGCGCCGCCGGCGCCCGGTGCCGGTGCCGCGGTGCCGCCGTCGCCGCCGGCGGCCGCGCGGCCGCGCGGCGCGGACCGCGCGCCGCTGCCGCCGCGGGGCCGCGCGCTGCGGACGTGCCCCGGCCACTGCTACCGCGTCGCGCCGCGCGTGCTGCCCAAGGCCTGGGGCATCCGGGGCCGCGATTCGCGCGTCGCGCGCTACGGCCTCGCGAGCCGCGGTTTGGAGGCCGTCGACAGCTCGGAGACCTACGGCGAGCTCTGGCTGGGCACGCACGCGCGGGGCGCCGCGTCGCTCGACGACGGCACGCCCCTGAGCCGGTGGGAGGGCGACCTGCCGTGGCTCCTCAAGGTGCTCAGCGTCGGCCGGTGCCAGGCGCTCGCGGCGCACCCGGACCGGCGCCTCGCGGCGGAGCTCCACGGCGCGGCGCCGGATATCTACCCCGACGGCAACCACAAGCCCAAGTTGGTCGTCGCGCTGACGCCGCTCGAGGCGCTCGTCGGCTTCCGGCGGCGGTCCGAGCTCGCGGCGTGCCTCCGGTCGAACCCGGAGTTCGCGGCCTGCGTCGGGCCCGAGGCGCAGCTCAAGCTCCACCTCGCCACGGACGAGGCGTCGCGCACGGCGGCCGTCAAGGACGTCTTCGCGTCGTTCATGGCCTGCGACGACGCCAAGGCGCGCGCGTCGCTCGCGGCGCTCGTCGGCCGCCTCGCGGGCGAGCAGCGCGCGGGGCCGTCGACGGCGCCGCGGGGCCCCGCGTGGGAGCGCAAGGCCGCGCGCACCGTGCTCCGCCTCCAGTCGCAATATCCCGGGGACCGCGCGGCCATGGCGCCCTTCTTCCTCAACTACCTGCTCGTGGCGCCGGGCGAGTCGTTCTACGTCGCGCCGGGCGAGCCCCACGCGCTCGTCGCGGGCGAGTGCCTCGAGCTCGCGGCGTCGAGCGACAATGTCGTCGTCGCCGGGCTGAGCGACAAGCGGCCCGTGGACCTCGACGCGCTCCTGCCCATGCTGTCCTACGCGACGGGCGGGCCCGACGTCGAGTTCGGCGCGCACCTCTCGTCCGCGCCGGGCTCGCACACGCTCCGCTACGCGCCCGACGTCGCCGACTTCGAGCTCACGGTGACGTCCGTCGACGCGGGCGCCGCCTGCCGCCTCGAGGCGCTCCCCGTGCCGTCGATCCTCCTCGTCGTCGCCGGCGTCGGCACGACGCGGTCCCGGCCGGGGCCCGACGGCTCCTCGCCGCGGCGCAAGCACATGTACGACCTCGCGCCGGGCACGGCGCTCTACGTCACCGAGGGCGCCATCCACCTCGACGTCGTCGCGCCCGCCGCCTCCGCGGGGCCCCTCCGCTTCGTCCGCGCGTCCGAGAACCTCGACGCCTGGCGCGCGCGCGGCTCGCCGCGGGAGTAGGGAAGCACGGGGTGTGCCTTCTTGGTCCGCGGGAGGGGGGTCGTCTCGTTGGTCTGCGCGTGTCGGAGCTCGCTAAAAAATTGCCACTAACTTTTGCAAATTTGTCTTCGAGCAAACCGATCATCTCAAACTAACCACGATGGACCGCTTCACGCAGCTCGACCCCTACACGCGCCACCCCACGTTCCGCCGGGAGATCCAAACCGAGTGTTTGTATGAGGAGGAGTCGACGGAGGCCCGCCCCCGGGTCATGAACCCGGACTCGTACAAGGCCTGCCTCGCGGCGAACGCCGCCCGCGTCGCGCTCACGAGCTACTCCGACCTGCCGGAATACGGCGAGAAAGAGGGCAAGGAGCGCAAGAGCTACCAGCAGGACCTGCTCCTGGCGAAGAAGCTCGAGGACCGGGGCGCGGCCGCGGCGAAGAACGACGCGCGGCGCGGCCGCTCCGACCCCCCCCCCCCCCTTCCCCCCCCGCAGGCGTCTACGACCCCGGCGCCATGGCGGTCGTCGTGCGGGACCTCGTCGCGGGCGCCGACCCGTTCCTCGCGGGCGAGGACCTGCGGGAGCTCGCGCGCGCGCGCGAGCTGCTGCACCACGGAATCGTCGAGCCGGGCGAGTTCGAGGTCTACCGGGACCAGGTGCGGGCCCGGGGCCCGCACTTCGGCACGGACGCGTCGGACCTGCGCGACGCCGTGGCGCGCTGGTGGCCCCTCCTGTCGCGCGGGGGCCTCGAGCCCCGGGAGTTCCGCGCGTTCCGCCGCGGGAAGGCGGGCCGCGGCGGAACCGGCGGCGCGCCGGCGCCGGCGGGCGCGGCGCGCGTCGAGGCGGGCCTCGCGCGCCTCGAGCACCTCCACAGCGTCAAGGCCGCGTCCGGCGCGCTCACGGACCGCGAGTACGGCGCCGTGAAGCGCGTCTGCCTCGCGGGCGTCGACGCGCGCGCGGGCACGGGCGGCGAGCACGCGGCCGCGAACGACCTCCTCGNCGACCTCCTC